ATGAAGACTTTCTGACTCCCGGGGTAGAGTTTAAAAGGTTCGAATAGTTTTTACTGGTTAGCGTTTTTTTAGCGAGTTAGTTTTCTACAGGATGGGGACGCTAACCCCATGCGCAACCCTCCTACTTTATCCGGGCTTGGGACCGGCAGTAGCCTCCGGAGTGACTGCAGGCGGAGGAAGAAATCAGGAAGAAACGCTGGAAGTGGATAAGACACACATTGAGAAAATCACCTAACTGCGTCACAATACAAGCCCTAACATGGAACCCTCAAGGTCAAAGGAGGAGAGGAAGACCAAAGAACACATTACGCCGGGAAACGGAAATAGGCATGAGAAAAATGAACAAGAATTGGATGGAACTAGAAAAGGAGGCCCAGGACAGAGTGGGTTGGTGAATGCTGGTCGGTGGACTATGCTCCATTAGGAGTAACAGGCGTAAGTAAGTACAGCACAGTTTACGTCAATATGGTCATGAAAAATTCATGCAAACAACCTGGATGCCATTTCGCTGTTACATCTGGCATGCACTGCGACAACTGGAAAGGTTGGTTCCGCGAGGCGTGCACTGATCTCACAACAACTGCCTACAACAGACTCAGCAAGTCGGATCATAAGTGGGAATGTGTTACGTGCAGCACGGATGCCGCAGTCTTGCTGGGTAATATCATTGTCCTACTGAGAGGTCTGCAGAGCAAGTTGTCGGCAAACCTGGGAAAAGACAGTCAAAAAACGGGTAGAAAAACAAGAGAGCGCATTGAAAACGAGAACAGGGATGTCGACAGGTCTACCAACAACGGAGCATGCAACAGCATTAATGATGACACGCTGAAACTTAGCACCATGATTACGACGACGGTACTCGACTCCCTCAGCAAACTCAGGTCTTGAACGCGACAGTGGTTCCCAAAAACTCTGTGGGTGATTGGACCCATATCAAAAGAGCTAAAAAGGGCCAGGCGTCACAGTCGAAATTGAAAACACCAGCTGTTGAACGGAAGCCAACTGGTGATCTGGTCGCATAGTCTACCCCCAAGATTGTCCGTCCGGTTATCAAAGAGCCAAGGATTCATGAACGTGCTTCGACCCCCCCCCTACAACAAGGTGCTAAACCTGGACGCACCGGAAAACGTGGGACGACAATAACGGTTTGCGATGACTCTCTCATAGTCATGAACTTCAAACACAACCCTGACCTTCCTTTCAGTTTGCAGGACAAAAATGATAGGATGCTCTGGGGAGAATTGATCAAGAAACTTGGACTCCGAAGAACAGAGACTTTGACAGTCACACGACTCACTCGGGGAAAGGAATCTTAACATCAAAATCACCCGAGGCTACTTCGTTTAACACTTAGGAATGCTACTGACGTTGAGGATGTCTTACTAGCGAGTCACTTAGTGAAATCAGATGCGAATGTAAGAATACTGCCTGACATATCGTATTCTGAACGCAATCTCATCCAGAACATCCCCAATGAAACTTGGGATCAGTTTTTCCGCAGGAGGAATATAATCGTGCAAGGTATGCCGGAAAATACAGACCCTACTCAATCGAAGACTGACATCAGGGAATGGAAATTCATCAAACAGTCCTTGAAGCTCAAAAGCATACTGACTCAGCATGTGACGAGACTAACCAAGAAGGTTGGTGATTCTAGACCCCGTCTACTGAAGATAATCTTCCCATCTTCCCATATGGCTGCTGCAACTCTGGAAGCATTTCGTGCCAACAGACGTCGACTGCCACCTGGAATCCACATGCACCCGGATAGGCCATACGAAGAGAGGACCAAACACAAAGGCGAGTTGGAGCTGACCATTCCACTTGTGGACTGTCCAGACGATGAAAAAACGTGTAAAGGACAGGGCCTACTACTTCGGTTAACCTCATATAGGTGGGATACTTGTCCATTCACGTAAGGATCATCAGACAAACAGGAAGAAGCTCACGCGTTCCAAATTGAAAGCATAAACTCATTACATATGAACGCCGCGAGTCTACCAAACAAATTGGATGAACTACGTGAACTTAGCAGTGCTAATAAGGCCCATCTGATAGGAATATCTGAAATCTGGATATCTTCTCAGTTCTCGGACCATGAGCTAGCATTACCTGGGATGTCTTTGTTACGCAATGACAAAAAAACAGGATATGAGCGGCGGAGTAGCTGTCTACATACGTTCTTGCTTTGAGGTGCATCAAGTTCACAACCTCGAGTTTAACAATCTTGAGGAATCTATATGGTGCTCTGTAAAATTGTTAAGTACTTCGAGGTGTCTAGTTGGAGTCATTTACAGGGAGCCAACTGCCGACATCAAGTACGATAGTCGTATGCTGGAAGGACTGTCCCGCTCTACTCGTCTCGGTTTCACACACATCCTGATTCTAGGGAACTTTAATCTGTAGTGGCTTTGGACCATAACCACACAGTCCTCAAAGCTGAATACGAGATTACTCGGAAAACAGATATTCAATATTTAACGCGGAGAAATACCTAACGATGGAGAAGGCGAGAACAAGGAATTTAATGAATGGGAGTTGATCGGATGGCATGGTTCGGCCATGCAGGCGTGGTCCCTCTGAATGTTACCTTATATCTTCTATTCATATTAAATATATTGTTGCTTCTCTAGCGTAATTTTGTTCTTCATCATGTACTGGTAATTGATACGATACAGTGAGTTGGTGCAGTCGATGGTGTGACTTTCACGTAAGATCTTATAGATTAGGCAGTTATATCATGATAAATCTACAATTTTAGCATTAGGTCTATTATTAAAGCAGAATTAATATCATAGTAGACCATAATTCTACAAATCTCCCTACAGTCAACTTTGCGGAACACTTGTATACTGGAAGCGACAACTCAATTGAAGCTCAGTTCTTCAACCTCATCGATGACTTGGGATTGTACGAAAATGTGAGGTCGGCAACTAGTTGGAGAAACAGCCAGACACCATCGCGCTTAAACTGTGTATTCACAAACGAAGAACTTCTAGTTGACAACCTCTCAATCTTGGCTCCCTTGGGAAAAAGTGATCATGCCGTCATAGCCTTCAGTTCTGTCAGCAAACCTAAGCTAAGATACCCCACCAATATCTCGCGTTGGAATTTTAAACGGTTGAACGTGCCAGCTCTACACGACTATCTACAACAGGTGGTTTGGGATGTTCAGCCCCAACTCGGTGTGGACGGTCATTGGGACTTCTTAATGCACACGCTCTTACGTGCTACAAACCATTCAGTTCCTCAAACGGTTCCAAAACGCCACAAGCCAACTACAATAATCAAGAACCGTACCCTTCGCTTGCTAAGCCACAAAAGGCACTGTTGGGCGGAATACAAACGAACTGACAACGACGGAGCGTACAGGCAATATAAAAATATAAGGAACATATGCACGAAGGCTATAAGTGAAGATAGGCTCCAGTACCGGACAAAGCTTATGGACAAACTTGCCTCTAATCCTAAAAGCTTATTCCGTTATGCAGCCTCTCTTCGTCAAGCCAAAACTGGAATTTCCAAACTGCTAGGTCTTAACGGCTTGACCAACAACGATGGCGACGCCGATAACCTTCTGGATGAACATTACTCCCAGACATTTCAACCGACCGACATTAACTTTACTGATGAAAGTTTCGTTTGCAATTCCACACTACTTTTCGAAGTGAACCTAAGCGCTGACTTGGTGTTCCGGAAACTGCAGCACTTAAGATTAGACACTTCTCCTGGCCCGGACATGGTCCATTCCGCCATACTGAGGGAAACAGCCTCAATCATGGCAATGCTACTTAGCGTGATGTTCTCACACTCGCTAAGTCGAGGAAAACTACTGGGAAATTGGAGGCTGGCTCACATCACAACAATTTTCAAAGGAGGTCGACGCAGCGGACCTTCAAGTTACCGACCGATGGCTCTTCTCTCCATACCCTCAAAAATCATGGAGTCCCTGATATGCGATGGTATAAATGACTATTTACTGTCCTTAAATTTCTTCTCACCACAACAGCATGGTTTCAGAAAGGGTTACTCTTGTATTACCAACCTGCTGACTGCAGTGGACAGATGGACAAGCATCCATGACCAAAAGAGGAAGGTTGATATCATCTACCTAGATTTCTCAAAAGCTTTTGATAAGGTTAACCATAAATGTCTTATCAGTAAGCTCAAACGATTGGGTATCCTACCACCTCTAATCGATTGGCTCACTTCATACCTGAAAAATCGACATTTTAAGGTCAGGGTTAATTTCTTACACTAACTTTGACAAAAATGCCTTCCGAGCAAACCTTGCACTGGTAACATTGAGGCGCATTTTTGGCCAGTTTGACGGAAGAACTTTCCATATAATCTTCAATAGTTTTATCCGTCCCCATTTAAAGTACGGAAACATAGTATTTGACCCCATACTCCAAAAGGATAAGGACACCGTGGAGCGTATCCAACGACGAGCCACGAAATCAGTTCGAGGACTCAAATCTAAACCTTACGAAGAGTGCCTCCATTCACTTAACCTTTACCCATTAGAGTATAGGCGTTTTAGAGGTGACCTTTTGATGGCTCACAGTATCCATAACATTTCTGTACATCCTCTCAAACGCCTACTTAAGCTTAGTTCCAACACTAACCTAAGAGGTAACACCCAAAAACTGGAGACACAATATAGCAGAACGAACTGTAGACAAAACTTCTACTCCTTAAGAGTTGTCAAATGCTCGAATTCGCCGCCGGCCGAGCTAGTCGAAGCGACTTCCCAGGAGTTCCTTAAGAGGCAACTTGATCTATTCTTAATGACTAAGGATAGTATCGCACTATGATTTACTAAGATCTTTTCCTGTTTTACTGTTGACATACCTAGGTTCCTGCCTGGAGGATTCGGTGATCCCCTGTTACTAGACACGGAAGATTGTTAAGCGAAAGCTTCTTCTATTCCGTCCATAACCATTTGAACCATTATTGTCCAATGATTTTTAACACAGCGTTCCAGTCGCATTGAAGGACGTTGTCTGACCTTGAAACAATTGTAAGCATAAAGATAGTGATAAATTGTCTAGCCTTTGGCAAAAACCTACTTGAGTTCGATTTCCACAGAAGCTGCTAAAACGAAGAGAACAACATTGTTTGTAAGTGGGTATACCTAATGTGGTCGAAAATACAAGGTTTCAACGACGGACAGTAATTTCCAAGTATATGCGTTTGTCAAAGAAACTGGCTTAAATTAAAGGGTTGTTTACATTCGAATTTATAAAACATTTCCGACACATGGGTTTGTAAATGTTTAATCTTGTCAGCGCCTCCGATTAGCTTGCTTAGCAAACAGTGTTATTCAAATAACTACCGTTTGTATATTTTAATATTAATACCAGGTCTACATGAATATATATGCCTGACCACGTGTTACAGAATATGCACATGTCCCTCATTCTAGTTTAAGCGTTAGTTGCTTAAAAACTTTGATGAGTCATTCGTTTTCCCGATATACATAGGTGCGTTAATCTTATTAACTGAATCTACTCTTCATTCAATTTCCTGTTCGACTAATAATTCGCCTCTTTATTTGCTCGCATTAGCATTTCTGCTGGGATTCGCTTGGTATGCTCGCGGCTTGGTGATCTGTGCTATTCAATAATAATAAAGCTGGTGCATCATGTTGCATTCTGAGATCCATACACCGATGGGATTTATTTCATAACAGTTATCAAGGCGGTTGATTTACGAAGCGTAAGAAATTATCTAGGAGATAATCCACTACAAATCAGCCTGATGTACGTCATTTTTCAAACCGTGTAACCTGCAGTTATATGTAACTGACATTTCCTGATTGAGGTTGGAGGCTTCCTATTCACGTTTATTTACGTTGGGGGTTATTGCAAATTTGTCAACTAAAATGATAGTAAATAAGAACTTTCGTCTAAATTTAAACGAATAGTTTCACAATATTTGGGCGCCGAGTTTATTTGAGACATTAAAAAGAAGAATATATTTGTAAAATCTCAGCGAATGAATTTTAAGTAAATCCAATATTCTTCTTTTTAATGTCTCAAATGATAGTAGTTGGTAGTTCGTTAGCGATATATATATTCTCGGTTCTGTCACACCAATGTTAATAACTGGGTTCACCTTTTTAAATATTAATCCTGTAGGCCGTTCAAAACACTCAACACTATAATGTTGCATAAATATAAGGAGTTCTATGGTTGATATAGTGAGCAAGGCCCATAGTTTAAAATCGAAGGGAACTTGTTGACTTTTAACTGCAATATTATAACTAGATCTGAGTTTATACTAGCTTCGAAACTATAAAATCTGCTGCTTCACTGCCTCCAAGTAGTAGGTTATTTCATGGACTGCAATCCTAACCTATGGTACTTACATTCTTGATTTGGCTACTTTGACACAATAATTTCGTTAAAGATGTGGTTGCTTATGGGATTGCGTTTTGGGATCAATCTGGATGGATCTGAGCAGTATGTTAACCAATAATGTCCTCTAAATGGTATACTTCCCAGCGCTTTGTGTCTGTCTCCCACAGACAGAATACTGTGTGCTTGGGAAATTTAGAGAAATGTAAGCTTCTTGTATAAATTCACATACATACTAGAGATAAGTGACACTAAATCTTGACTGCTTTTCGTTTTTAATTAAGTGCGACTAGGTCATCATATCTTTTATGTGAACGTTTGGTATATGCACACATACTTCTTGTCTAGTCGCTATCTTTCGTCTTATAAATCTTGGTATTTTTTATTCTTTTGACTCCGTTTTAGTTCTTTAAGAGACAGGAAAGCCTAAACCAGTGAATTTTCGTGCAGATCTCTGTTTCGCTCCTCCTTTCAATTTATTTCATATATATCCCATATTAAGACAATGTTCACGTTTTCATTTTTCACTAAGCTACATGTATATTCAGTTTTGATCAAAATCTTTACTATTTGTTTTGTTTAATATAGATTGAAAACGTCTATTCCAATGTCAGACACTCCTGGTGTTATTCCTAACATGCCTGTTGGTTCACATCAGTCATCTACTAGTGCAAAGTCTAATACAACTAAACGAAAAGAGATATATAGATACAATGCTCCTTGGTGTATTTTCAGCATGAACTGGTCTGTCAGACCAGATAAACGCTTTCGTTTAGCTGTGGGTAGTTTCATTGAGGAGTACAATAATAAGGTTCAAATCATATATCTAGACGATGAACAAGGAGAGTTCGTTGTACAAAGTACGTTCGCACATCACTACCCAACGTCAAAAATCATGTGGATCCCTGACACAAAGTGTATTTTCCCTGATTTACTTGCCACAAGTGGTGATTACCTTCGTGTTTGGAGAATAAATGAAGATTCTGAAGTGAAAAATGAATGCTTATTGAATAATAATAAGAATTCGGATTATTGCGCCCCACTTACTTCCTTTGATTGGAATGAAGTAGACCCGAATATCATTGGAACTTCTAGCATCGATACTACATGCACTATCTGGGCCCTTGAAGTAAGAATAATGAAAATACCATTTGAACTGCTTTACCAACTTTCCGTATACACTTATTAAAGGGGGAAAGTATCTTGAGTGACAGAGACTTATTAAACTCCAAGTGATCTCACTAAGTAAACATAGTACACCTCTTACAACTGACTATCAGTTTTAGAATTGCATACAGAATCAGTTTGTAGAGCGAAATTGCACCCACCCTGATCTTATATATTGATAAGCGATCTCCCCTAAATTAAAAATGTCTCTACCAAAAAATAAGTTACTTTAGTTTTTGAAAATATATGGTGCTTAGTGCGTCAGACACTGCACTTGTCCAAACTTCAGTTCATGCACCAGAGTTTAAAACGTTGATATAGATCAAAGATCAAAGACTTAAATCAGTAGCCTTGGTTTGTATTTTGTTTAGTTTTGTTTCATTTTGACTGATGAAAAATACATAGAAAATAGAGCGACAGACCACCATTGCTTGTTGTCCTGAAGCTCATCAATCGTCTGATAATTTACCTTCGGTACGGAAAAAATCTCTGCAAACTAGAGGGTTTGTTTTTCAAAATCGTTTCATCTTTTGACTTGGTCTGTGAAGTGTTCAAGAGCCTATTTCAGTCGGAGGCAAAATCGTCAGAACGGTTTTCCAGTACTCTAGTTTACATTACTTATACAATGTAAACTAGCGTACTGGACAACTTTAATGCTAATCTTCTATAGATGTTTTGTTGTATTTATGAAACTTGTTAACAGTTTCTTTATATAATTATTTATCTTAACTGTTACTTCAAAAGACGGAGCAGGTGATCGGCCATACAAATGTCGTAAGTGGACGTGTAGAATCTCAGTTAATAGCCCATGACAAAGAAGTATATGACATAGCTTTCAGTCGTGCTGGAGGCGGAAGAGATGTTTTCGCCAGTGTTGGTAAGCGGTTCTATTTTCAACCTGAATATTTTCTCCGATAATTTAATTTAACAGAGTGCTTGTCATTTCCCCATGAAAAACTACATGAAGCTTTAAATTCTTACCTTATGTTATTTCAACCAGTTACAGTGATTAAAATGCAATCAGTTTATAATTTTCTCACTTTACAGCCCTATACAGTAGTCAGAATACTATTATGGTACTATCTACCGAATACATAACATAATTAAGCAACTTATTTTGAAATTGAAATAAGCAGTCTGGAAATATTTGAAAGTGAAGGCACTCAACATATATTCATTTATTAAGTATTTTGGTGATGTTATTTTATATTTTCCAAATTTAAGGATTCGGCTTTACTAATTATCAGTTTTATACCATTAATGTCGTATCTATGTACAGATTATGATTTATTATTTATGGTACGTCATATATAACCACAGAATTTTAGGAGAGTGAATAATACGATGTACTCGCCCGGTTTACGAAGTATTTCAAACTGTAAACGAAGGAACAGGTGGTAATTTTGTGGGCTACCGGTTGTTAGCTTATATAATCATGATGTTAGCTGATTCTTTGTTAACTGTGATAATCAGAAAAGTTCTAGTAGTATTATATGAATAAAAGTACTAAATTAAATAATCATATGTTAGGGATAACAGGCAAACAACGGCCATAAAGGTCCTAAGGTGAAGCAGCTATTATAACAGGCTGAAGTGGATGTAACGGAACTACCGGTAGAATGCTCTTAATGAAAAGATACTAGAAAAAAAAATAACTCGTCATTAAAATATGAGCCATTCTGTGTAACAATGGCGTACTCACTTGCAAACATAAAATGAACTTGATTATCCATCACTTTTCATAAGCAAATGACTAGTGCGTAAGTATCGCAAGCCATCCATCAGCCCGGTCATCGAGCTCACTTATTCCACGCCATAAAGGTTTTGGTTACTTTTCTTCTTTATCAAACTAAAGAGCGTAGGAATACGCATTTATATATATATTTCTATTTAGTGTCTTAAAGTGTTAGCACTACTGTGTTTATTTCTTTGCTTTGGAATTGTGCAAATGTGAGATGTGACAACATATAACTGTGAATGCTTAAAACGGGTCAACATCGTATTTGTCAACTTGTTTTACAATCGTTTCAAGTAATGTTATGTATTACTTTGTTTTGTTAAGTTCAATAATAGTATTATAAGAGACCACTCAGATACATTCCATGTGGTTTTCGCCTTAGATCATTGGTATTTTCGGTTTCTCCATTAAATTGTTATATATTTCGTAGTCCAAATACAACTGTCCATAGTTCCATGCTGTTCTGTCTCAGGTAAAGTAATTGGATTATGACTGATCATATTTTTTAGGTGCAGATGGTTCTGTACGTATGTTTGATCTTCGGCATTTGGAGCATTCTAATATCGTGTATGAAGATTCAAATCATTCCCCACTTTTACGCTTGGCTTGGAATAAGCAAGATGCAAACTATCTAGCGACATTTGCAATGGACTCCGTAGAAGTAAGTTGTTTTAGTTATTCACTTTTTCACCATATATTCGATTGATATTTTTATAATTGGATAAAACACTCTAGTTTTTATTGAAACACCTGATACTATGATAGTTATTAATAATGTTGGAGTTTGTTAATAAGTCGAATTGTTTCGTAGACTTGAATAACTTTTTTATTATGAAATTATCAATGTAAGATCCTGAGGATTATATAATCGCAAACCCGATTGTAATATGTATTACAAGATATGTTTTGGTGATAACACATGTTAGATGACTTTTATACGAACATTATTCGTTTTATCGACTAACTAGAAAACGCACTCTGTACTAGATCTAAGAACGACGGCGTCTACCAATGACCATAGACATTTCCGTGAAATCGTTCAATAAGAAGTTTTCACGTTTATTATTATTTACACTACTTTACACTAATCTAGTCGTTTTTGTTCTTCTTTTACGCTCCTTACCTTCTTTTTTTTCTCATTCCATCCTCATTGTTTTGTGTGGCGCATATATAGTTGGTGATCTCTTGTACCAATATTTATGTGTTCAAATAAAATAAAATAATTTCACGTTGATTACTGTTCAAGGGAAGATTACTAGGATGTTATTTATGCACATCTTGTCATCGATTCGAACTTGGAGGCTATTTTATGGACAGAAATTTAGAAAATAAATATGTGTATAACGAAGGTAGATGCTAGATTACCTTGATACTCAAAAACTGGGACCTTTTGTTCTTCATATAGCTTGAACGCCTTATTACTATTTATTTGTTCGCTCTCTTTTTCGTTCACGCCTTCCTCATTAAGTTGAATAGATTACTGAAGTTGAGATGTTTTTCAAGGGGAAAGGGGTAACTATTTGAAGCAACACACTTCCATAGGAGAAAGAATTATCCGCTGTCCCGTTTGTTAATTTATCTCAGGAATCTTCTTGTTAAACCTGCAGTTACCCTATGACTCTTATGTAAATATATTTTCATTTTTGGATATGTCTTAATCATTCACATAGGATGTGACTAATGAACCATCCTAGTAATCTTATATTTGTTATAAATAACATTGACCTTCAATACATGTACGTCCTTTTTCCGTGCTTAAGGCGTCCGAACCTTGCCTCACGTACTTCGGTTGTGAAAACCAGGGATATTTACACTTTGAGCCAGAAAACATTAATGTACAAGTGGTTGGCCATTCTAACACACCTCAAGTGGTAATGCAATTTTAGAGACCTATTTTAGAGTATATGTCGACAGATGTTGATACATAATATAACGAGATAGAGTAAAAAGTTCATTTACGGTAATTGATTCGGGAACGATGGTTCGCTCAAATCCAATTCTTCACAATTACATTCATGTTTTTACCGTCTGTTTGCACAACTCTATACCATTACTTGTAGATAAAGTTGAGATTATTGTATTAAGTCCCATCCTTTCATGTGAAGTGAAATAATAATAATAATAATTCCGTTCAATATATGTTTTGATCTCTTTCAATTTATTTCAACGCTCACTTTGTACAAAAATGCAATTACATAATAAAAATGGGCTTGCAGTTTTAAAGTAGTATAATATACAAATTTCAATTTAACCCACTCTTATATAAGTGCAGATTCATATACTAAGTGTTAAGTTACAATCTGTCCCAAATGTAGGGATACTACCCTTGATAAAGCTTTCGAATATATACCATAGAGACTTAAGGCAGAATTCAGTTATCGTAATATCATTTATATCTTTGGATAGATGAAACGTGTTATCGACATATGAAAAAGCATACTTGTTTTGTAATCAATTGGTCACTCTCTTTAATTCGCTCTAATTTACTAGCTATTTCGACTTAACAATTACTGAAAAGATCTCAGCCTCCTTGTTTTGCATAATATGCTTACTTATCTTTCAGTGTACTAATGTTCATTTTGGATTTATATTGTTTTACAACTGCAGATAATTATTTTGGATTTACGTGTACCATGCACCCCAGTAGCTCGTTTAAACAATCACAGAGCATTTGTAAATGGATTAGCATGGGCACCACATTCAAGTTGTCATTTATGTACAGCATCTGAAGATTGTCAAGCTCTTATCTGGGATATTCAGTCTATGCCAAGAGCAATAGAAGATCCTATTCTAGCATATACAGCTGCCGGTGAAATTAATCAAATTCAATGGTCATCAACACAACCAGATTGGATAGCCATTTGTTATAATAATTCGTTAGAAATTTTACGAGTATAATATTTACTGTTTATTTCTTATTTTATCAACTGGTTTAAAGGTGTACTATAATTATGATCAAATATTATTTCTTCCTTTATGCTTACTAATTGTTGTACGTTGTTTTCATGCGTTTAATTATTATTCTTTTCCAAATATCCTGAATAATTTAACTGTGTACTATTATCGAGATACATATGAATCAATTTCAAATGTTGTTTTGTACATTCACTTGAAAACATTTGTGTTTGTCTAATTAATTTATAAAATTTCTTAAAAATTACCATTATAAAACAGGAAGTTCTTCAATAATAGTTGTATTCAGCAGGATCTGTGTACAGAAACAAATCAACATTTACTCGATTTTGGGAAAATGACAGACAAAATATAATCGACGTAAGTTATCTTTATTGGGTAAGAAGATTCGACTCAAATTATGCTGTCTTTAGTAAATGGATGCTACCCTGTTGTCTGCTATGCGGAAGGATATTTGTCCACAAAATACAGTTACGGCTCACTGTTGGGTTATATACTAGTATTTCTATAAACGCCGCAGTACTCCACAAGTAACACAAACCTCAGTGAGTAGTAATGGAGCACCAGAGGTGGTTAAACTGAGCTGAACGAATAACTCAACTATTTACCACAGTCAGTAGTTTAAATTAGATCCACATTTTTTATTCGTACTTTGTTTTATTAAAAACATAGATTGAAGCGAGATTACTGTTGCAGTGATAAAATTACTATTATCTCTATGGTGCAAACGCGTTTGACTTCAGTGCATTATGTGAAACTTTTGGAAGATAGCATATTAGTTTTTCCAATCATTTAACAATGTTGTGTAAAAGGAGCTTTTCAACGGACAAAAAGACGTAGATATTTTTCTACAATTACATAATGTTTGTAAACGCTCATCTGCAAAAACTATGTTCAATTCACGATAATCATACAATTTGCACTCAAACTATTTACGATCATATCCAGTTTCAAGAACTTCCAGCTCTACTATTTCAATTTCTAAATACGTTGTGTATTCAGTACATAGTACCATAATAGTCTTCAGACTACTGTATAGAGCTGTAAAGTGAGAAAATTATAAACTGATTGCATTTTAATCACTGTAACTGGTTGAAATAACATAAGGTAGGAATTTAAAGCCTCATGTAGTTTTTCATGGGGAAATGACAAGGACTCTGTTAAATTAAATTATCGGAGAAAATATTCAGGTTGAAAATAAAACCGCTTACCAACACTGGCGAAAACGTCTCTTCCGCCTTCGGAACGACTGAAAGCTTTATCATGTGCTTATACTTTGAAGTCATAACTTTGATCTCAAAATGTTTAATTGTAGACCGGGAAATAAATTTATTTGTTATTCTCCAAAACACATTACTCATGTTCCATGTGACTACGATGACCACAAATTTAGAGAGAATAATTCAGCATCAAGTAGTTAAAGTTATACAGAAAAGGGGGATATCATAAGAGATCCAAAAAGTGCAATAATTGGCCGTAGTATGATGAAAGCGAATCCAGTCTGTATCTATTTTTATCATTGAAAATCCACCCAGGACAACTGCAAGTCCGTAAGCAAAATATATTCGGCTCGGATTTTAATAAATTTTGGATTTACACTACTGTCTACTAATTCAGCAGTCAGGTAATTGTTTTTAAAGCGACTAGTTCATTATATATTGTCACTAATTATATACGACTAAGAGTTGCCTAACTTCACACTTAAATGCGCTGGTGTTTATGTGGTTTTTAACGATGTGAAACTCGAATGAAACATATTTATGGCATGCTTGTTAGGATTCTGAATTTCCAAAGTATTCTTGAAAATGCTTGATTATAAACATAAAAACGCACTGAACCAGAATGTAAAATGAAAATCTACATTAATTTGAAATATACAACAGTTTGAACCGAGGAAATAAATCTTAAGTTGTCCATATTCAGTTTGCATGGTGCCAGTTTCGGTAACAAGTCAGTATTAGTCAAAGAAGTACAGAGTATTTGAAGCCGCTCCATCTCATTCTCAGATTCCTGGTATCCAACGTCTTTTCGAGTAATTGTTTTGGTAAACAGTCTCTGTTGAACACTAATGAGTTGTCTCAGGAGAAAATCTAACCGTTCACCATATTATCTGGCGTACGAATGGGTTGGAAGAAACTTTGGGGCGGCCAAATCAATCCATGATGTCACTGAAAATTTGACTGAGGCTTGTTAGTAGACCCAGATCTTTTTGAATGGATTCTAGTTAATAACTGTCATCGGTAGTTGGAGACGTTCAGTTCAGAATTAGTCACAGTGACGCAGATGCATTTAGACTTTATCTTCCGCTACGTTTCGAGTTTTATTATTATTTCGTATGCTTTATTCCTCAAATTCATTCTTATCCTTCGGATAGCAACCTTCAATATTTAGTGTTTCTTAGTATAATTGGTACTGATATATATTTTTTGAATTATCATTCCTCTACCCGTGTTGATGTGCTATGTCTTCTTGAGCTGATGCACATTTCTGTCAGATTTTATGGTGATAAAAACTGATTTAAATAAGTGGTATGTCAATTTTTTTCCCCAAGAACTATTGAATCCATTAAGTTCCTAGGAAATTCACCTTCAGTTAAATTAATTTTGTTAAAGATTTCAATGAAACTAATTTTATAAATAATACTCAAAACATTGAGAAATAAACAGAAATAGTTTGGTGATTAACTATGAAAGTTTATTTTAGGAAGATTTATACAACGAATAAATGAAAAACCGAGATTTCACAATGTTTTGGTTATAGTATATATACATTCTAACTATTTTTCACAGGTAATTATGATTTAAAAAAGGTGAATAATTATCCTTGTAATTTTATTATTAACGACTTAACTCTTGGAAAAATTGATAAAAATTCATTTCTGACTTGATATGATTCCCAAAAGTTTGTCAAATGGCGCAAACAGGAATTAGATTTCATAAATACACGAATCTATAAGATAAAGGTATTATATATAAATTGTAAAATTTCTATATAACAATTGAAATCAATGTATACAAGAAATTATCCCCCAAAAGTATCGTATTACTGTTACAACTGAGAGAAACTTGTAATAATTAATACCGAAAAGCACTCCAGTTTCTATGATTGATATGAGAACATCGAAACCGATTGAAGATGAGAATCTATTTCACTCACCAAAACACGTTAACAGTTGCTGTAACGGTGGATAATTGGGACTGTTTATTTGAACCTGTGAATCGCATGACCCAAATAAAGACAGAAATTTTAGACGAGGATTTATTTGACATAAATTTTGTAGAGTGAAACAGATCTTCATCTGCAATCAGTTTTCGTATTCTATTTTTGTTGGTGGAAGTCGCAGTGATTTCCGGTACCAAACATTACAAGTTATTCCCAGTTGCAATAACTATCTGTAGCTATCATTTTCATTTTTTCTCTTTTTAGTCTTGTGGGTTTATTTTCATGTCGCTGATGTGAAAGTGTAGTATGGTGAATCAATAAACAAACATTTGTCTTAGTTTATGATGTGTTTAACTTTCAAGTCCAGTTGATGTCCATTTGGCACCTTTATGAGCTATGTCTATTTTTGGTAAGTTAATCAATACTACTGATTGTTTGAAGTTAGTTTTGGTCAGCGGTAAAATGGTTTATACTATAGTAAAAACACGTCAGAAAAAACTTGCCTTATTCGAATTAGGTAGCAGGTGGCTGGGTTCAAGCTTGTGACCTAATGGTTTGGAGGTGAATACCTTAATTACTGAGTCACCTCTATACAAGTACACTAGTAAAAGTTCGTTAATGCAATATAAGTATAAATAATAGTTTGAAAAACTTCGTAACAAGAAGTCTAATAAATTTACTAAAGATGCTTTGAGTGTATCATATTCCAATATTTAGAAAAACAAATAATGAAACGTTCAATATTTTTCTAAAACGAATGAATTCTTTATTCGTATAGGTAATAATATAAATAATTGTCAACTACTGTATGGAAATTAGAGTTCGAATTTTTAGTAGGTAATATACACACCAGACAGAAAGCGATGAAAAATCTATTAGCGTTTCGAGAACGGATCGATGAGAAAGGAGAGTTACGACCGCCTGAGTTTCTGAAACTTGTACGCAGTTTAAACTTAGTTGTCAATATAACGTATTAAAGTGAGAACTAAAACAATGAAATGGAACTCACCTTTTTACTGTTATGAATCGCAGCTTCAATAGCACTAAGTACAACTCTAATAGAATACAATGAATTCGCATCCAAATGAGAATCCAGTAATATATCACGAAAACAATTGATAACGTTAAAGTCTGAATAAAAATGTATAAACACATAGCATTCGCGGTTATTTTAGAAAATATATGATGACTGTGAATACATAAAATAAATAAATACTTCGATGTCACACTGGTCCAATGAAAATTAGCATTCAATTTCAAAGTCATCTGTACTTTATTAATCGAATTATATAGATTGATAACTGATATTCATTTTAAGACAACCATTTAGAGAATTCGAAACGAATCAAAACGAGACTAATCTAATAAAACAAATCACAGGAAATGGGCGTGAATCACTTTAAATAACGGGTAGATACATGGTAGATATGCGTATAACATGGAAGAACTGATATGGAGTAGTAGAGAAAACTATCACCGACAGATACAGATGGAACGATTTGAAGCAATTCACTTAAGATCGAGTTAGGATCTGATATTTAGTAAGTCAAAATCATTTCAAGGAAGTGAGAAGTAGAGATATTACACATAACCGAAGGGTTAGAATTTAGCTACAGTGTCTCCAAGTCGTTCGAGATAATCTCTACTTAAATAGTCGTTCTCTCGACAATAACTGCTAACTTTGATGGATTGACCGGGGGTTGGCTATCTTAATAACCCGATCGGGCTCAAATAATTTTTCATTTAGGTACTACCACTCAGGAGAGGTTTGATGCAAAACGATAAAACGAAAAGCGGGAACTTTAATTCCAAGAATAACGTCGTGCAACTGATTAAAATCGGGTTCGACAAAAAATGTTTCAGATAACGACCATTTACAGCAATAATGTCTTCTCACAATGAAAGAAAAGAGTTAGGAAAGGTTGACTCTAAAATGTGAAACTCTATTTAACCTCACAGACTTTCTTCACAGTGTAGAACAAACACATTAAAAACTTCTTGCTAAAGTCGTATGCGGTCGTCTTTAAGCAGTTACTTCATGGCTTCAGCACTCACACTCCCAGCTCACTACGAACATTATTAATACAGACCCCTTTCCAAGTTCCTCAGGAAAAATCACTCACAATGTAGGCAACTGAAAAGTAATTACAGCCGTCCTGACCAACGCTCAAAATCACCCACTATTGTTGTTTTGAATAATATCATCAATGACTATCTCAAACAAAGCTCTTTATTGTGGATGAGATAGTTTTCTTACAAGTACAACATGTGAAAAAACAGGATATATATATCAAACGAAGAAGACTAACTTGCAGTTAATAATTTCGATTTCAAAATACTGTGTGTGCATAAATTCCGCAAGATTACTAAAGCTGTCTCACGATTATCAGGTTTACAATGATTTATACAATTGATCAAAATTGTGGGTAAATCTGAAAGAAATGTAAGTGTTTTAAACGAAAAAATAAATAAATGCGAGACATTACTGTTATCATTCATATAAAACATACCGATTTAAATAAAATTATTAAACACTATTGTACTCCATAATGTTGATTTTACCAATCTATTCAAATCAATGGTTTTACAATCATAATGGAAGTGTTTTATACACTAATTCACGAAATATCAGAAATTCAAATTTCTACTCATTAAGATGTCACAAATATATCGTTTTATTACTAACTTTCTATCTAATGCTTGATTTATTTAGAATTATCAAGTCCAACTTTACTTGGTATTGATACGTACAATCATTTCATGTTCGATAGATAAATTAATTACTGGTACCAGCTTGAATAATCAAATCTTATCATAGCTTATGTAATCCGATAATCAGATCATTTATATTTTGGGTTTTAATCATAACCACATCAAGAGGCAATATGAACACATCAAAATTATTGTAAAACATATGCTTCTGGATGATCAGTAAAATATTGAAGAAAAATAATGATTAAGCATTTACAAATTAGTTGTAATTTTGTTATCATAACAAATAATAACAGAAAATGTAAGCTGCTAATTATTGTCCAACAATAACCCCCAAATGCCCTGGTACGGCCGAGAGTGGGGAGAGTCCGCTCTCCCTCTCGAAATGCTCTCACATGGTCACGCGTATATAGCCTCTGCCTAGGAAGTCCTACTCACTGCCTTCTCGTGGCGGGGGTGTTGTTTACGAAATTGAGAGGACGAAAAGCGAATGTCCGGCGCTTTAACCGGATTCCAAATCAATGGTGCACATGGGCTCCAGTATCCTGAGGGAACAAATGGCGTATGAACCAATTGTTGGTCACCGGCTTCCATGGGACTGTACCTCCTTACGATGCTCCACTGCCTTGTGGATCAGACCTTCAGGTCGAAGGCTCGAGGAGTGGCCCCTTAAGAAAACCACCTGTTTCAGTTTGGGCACCTGGGCAGTATCACAGCCCTCACACATATCGAATGAGACTTGTGTGGCGCATATGCATTTGGTGCCTCTTTGTACAAATATCTATGTGTTGAAATAAATAATAAATAAATAATTTATGATTTTTAATCGGGTCTGTAATATCATATGTAAAAATGATGAGTACATTGTTATCTTATGAATGTATACAATAAAAAAAGTTAACTACACTGTTTGAAGAACATGAAACATGTTATGTTCCACAGATTACTAGGAAATGGTATTGGAACATCGGAAATATTAGATTTACAGTAAAAAGATAGTTAAACATTTCACTTTTAAAATGCAATGTCATATATAAGAAAGATACTAACAAATTGGCTTACTCGGTTGATTAAATAGTATATGTTGTCCATCTTTAGTGAATGATATATTAAGAATCAATTGTAGCCAAAGGGTGAGTATAAAATGTCCACGACGACTTTTGATCAGTGTACGTGGGTTCAATTCTGATATGTGATTAAGGATTTTAGACTAAAAATAAAGAATAAATGCATCATGAATAGTAAAAATCAAAATAGTGACTAGTTAATTGGTTGATAATCCAAAGAGATCATGGTTTAATGTGGGTTCAAGGTACTTTATAAGATTGTAGGTAGTCAGTGGTAAGTCCAAAACCGAAATGAAACACCTGCTCAACTACCAGTTGAAATCATTTCAAAATAGTGATAATTGTTTAATATTGACTGAATTATGAGCGATAATGTTTTATCTTCCATCAAAATATCTCAATAATACTAAGGAATAAAGTTCAAACGTTTATAAATGTCTGGTGTTGATAAAATGATAATTTAACTATAGTACGATCGAATCAATTTATCTTAGCTCACTTGAATTACCTTATCATAGCGTATTAGAATGAAGCCTTTTTGATGTGGTATTTTTGTAGTTTCCAAAAATAAACTACAGAATTTTCCGTCATTTGGCATATTGTTTACAAGTCTGTGGAAAAGACTTATGTACCTATGTGTCAGCTAATTATTGTTTTGTTTAAAATCAATACGTTTGTGAACCTATTCAAACAGAACTATTTTTTTTACAAAGCTGCATTTTTATTTATTCAATTACATTTTAACCAAAAATAATACACATATTACTAAAGCAACTAGTGAGGTTAAATCATATAGCTTGTGATAGTTTCATCTTCTTTCGGTTTAAAAAATTAAAATTCATAAACGAAGCAATGAGTTTATTTTTATTTGTTACACACCAATTTCAATAGTGTGTTGTACGAAAGCAACGAACAATGGCGACGTCGTGCAGAACGTTAATGAAATATTTACGACGAAGTATCAAGATCCAAAAAAGTCAAACAAAATTGTCAAGGCATTGAGCAAATATTCTCCTACTATATCGAAACCATGACTTACAAGTCTTACAGCAACTAAAACACTTTTAAACTACTGAATCGAAATCCGATTTCAAAGATTTTCCATTTTTTCACTTTAAATTCAATATTTTGGTATTGTCATCTGGTGTTAGTGGTGTGGATATCAATGTAGTGAACGAGAAATCAACTGCGGAAAACCAGTTTATTCCTTAATGCAAAATTACAGAAATTTGAAAACCATACATTAAATGCATGGTTTGCACACCTTATTTGAGTTATCCTGTACATGTTTTATGTTTCTTTCAATTCTGTTGTTAGTACAATAGCTCGGTATTTCTCTTCCTATTCTCTTCAATTTAATTTTTTGCTAGCAGGCATTCCACTTCCGATTGACGCTACATACTACCTAAGTCTGTCAGCATAAGTAGCATGCACCGCAACTAAAGCATTACCAAATATCAGTTTTGAATCTATTAAAGAATCTAACTATATGGCTGAGATACACGCGAAATCAAAGCGATTTACCTAAAAAGCGTTTCTTTATTGAGTAATATACATAAATTAGTTGCAAGTCTCAACTTGTGCGATGCCTGTGGGGCTTAGCATGTCTGTAAATATGAAGGGAAACAGGATTCCTGCAATATTAACATAAAGAATAATTATGACATACGATAGCGCGAGTGACAGCTGATAGCTGTTTTTTCAAAAAGCAACAACGGAACCAAGATCAAACAAATATAGAAATCAGTTTAGGGGTTGTGGAGATTGTTAGGTTTTCGACTGAGATCATGAACCGATTGATGTAAGACCAGCATTCGTCCAATAGGATGAAACGGCCGTCCAGTGCTTCTCAGGTTTTCAATGGTGGTCTAACATCAATCGGTTCATGATCTCAATAAAAATAATATGGAAATTATTGCGTTTAAACAAAGATAAAACAACTACATAAAGCCGTAATTACAATGACAAACACAATAAATGTTATTAATATATTTATATATTTCAGAATATCACACGAAAAACTGGCATTACAAAATACTCGTAGTAATTACTAAGAATACAACTATTTACTGAACATTAATAAGTAGCATAGAACAATAAGAACAAAAAAGTGTCGACGGAAAAGGAGTAAGGACAGAGAACGTAAACAAACTTAACAATCAGTAAAACAAAAAATGTAATAAGTTGAGCAAACACATTCAAAGAACAGTAACTTTCATGCTCCTGATAAGTAGCGTTCTATAGCGATATGTTTTTAACCTAATAAATATTATGATTTAAAGTAGATCGATTGATATTTTAACTAACAATTTTAAGATCTTAAATATTCATAAATACATAACAAAAAAAGATTCATCGTTGTTTTAAAGCTATGCCCTATATATTATAAAACAAGTTACCTATATGTTACAATATCCTTGTGTAATATGAATAACTAATAAAAATGTAAACATGAAAAATCCAGTATGAAATATAAGTAAAAACTTACTTTTAATAAAAAGGATTTTGTCTCTGGTGCCCAAACCATATTGGCTAATAATTGAAAGATTAACTTATATATATCTTCTTGATGTGTACTTGTACTTTGTTTATTACCGATTATATTGGTGTAACAATTAAATTGATATGTTTTGCTAATGTTTCCTAATGTGTTTGTATTACATTTTTTATTTGATTCGGTTAATATGAATTGATTGTAAATTGGAATTAAATTACATAATGATTGGATGAAAGAACTATTTATTGTCAAGGAATTCGATGCATTGAATAGTATAATGGAAGCTTCTTTTTTTGTGCACATATGTTATGAAAAGTAAAAAAATAGTTCAAAGAAAACATCATTAAGTATATCATAAAATTAGCATTAATAAGAGATAACATTTTGGCAAATTTTTATTCAAATTGAGGATTGATAACTGTACTAAATCTAATTTCGATGAATAATATATCAAAATAGTTTTGAATTGTAAAAGGAATAATTTAGATGCATGATTTAATGAATAATTTGAATTTTATATAATGGTGAACGGTTGAGATATTGAACTTTTTTTTAGCCAAGTTCTACATTTCTAAAATCTTTGATAATTAAATCACAAATAAAAACGAAATGAGAAAATATGAAAAATGATTTATTCCCAAAAGAGTTTCATTTCCTCTAATCATTGAGTATTTCATAGGGTTGCATCGACACCCGAACTAATGATAGGGAGTGAAGTAATTGAGCGTGTCGATCGCTTCAATTATCTTGGAAGTCTCATCAGCCTTTGTGGTCTGGTGTGTGACGAAATCTCAGCACGGATACAGAAGGCTCGACTAGCTTTTGCTAACTTGCGTCATTTATGGCGTAGGCGAGATATCCGTCTATCAACCAAAGGACGGGTTTACTGCGCAGCGGTTCGTTCCGTCCTAATTTATGACAGTGAAACATGGCCGGTAAGAGTAGAGGATATTCGTAGGTTACTAGTATTTGATTATAGGTGTCTTCGAAGCGTTGCTCGTATATCCTGGGACCATCGAGTAAGTAATGCAGTTGTTAAGAAACGGGTACTAGGTAAGGATGGCAAATCAATTGATGAAGTAGTGAAACTTAATCAGTTGAGATGTCTGCGACACGTGTTACGTATGCCCAACCACCAACTGACTCGACGTGCGATGCTCAATGGTATAGGAGTAGGTTGGAAGAAATCTAGGGGTGCCAGACCAAAACAAGCACAAGTCCATGAAGTCACTGACAAGTGGTCTGAGTCATGTCGGTAGGTGTAGACTACCTGGTTGGGGACCGCGAGATGATAGCAACCGATGGTTAGAGACCTTGAATGACATGGCTCAAAATCGTTTGCAATGGCGCAGGTGCATCCAGTCTTTGTGTTCTCCCAAATTTTGATCTCCTTATTCCCCCTTGTCTCTTTTTTTCTCTTCCCAAATTTATTTCACTGTATTACACTCTTTAAATAACATCTCCAAACACCAATCTTTCTGATTACTGCTTATACTCTTATTACCTCTACCACTACGGGATTTGAATCGACCACGGCATCTCTGTGCTAATGTGGTGTGGCAACTTGAACTGATGTACGTACGTACGAAGTTCTACGTTGTTACTGACTGACTGACTCATAAGGTTTACATTGAACTTGTAATTTCATAATCTTATAGGAAAGATATTGAAATTTATAATGAATTCAAGACTTGATGAGTTAGATTAAAGAAAATTATGATGAGTTTACAGAATTATCTAAGAAATCATTTAAAACACTAATTGGCTAGAAATACTCTTGGCCACTTTCAGGCTTTTACAGAAGTTTTTAAAATCAATATGACAACTGTTTCATAAGACTTTAAATAATTCATCTAGAAATGAAGATTATATATGCATCATTTTATTCAAAGTAAATGGAAGTGACATCTATCATCCTTGTAGTTTTGAATTTGATATTTTCATTTGTCATATTTACTAGATTAATACATCCGAGTTCGATACAAGTCACAGACTAACTTAGTTTTCCCAGAATATTTATACATGAATATATATTTTAATAATAAATGGTTTAACAATGAATAATAACTAGCTGATGTTAGAAATAACTCATATTAAAAGAGTTAAACTCAGTAACAAATGTCAATTCTCGTCACAAACAATCAATCGGTTATTTAACGACTAAACAGTAAGGGAAAAGGAAAGAGATCATGCGATAACATATTAGTTACTTATGAGTATTAAAGCTGTGATACACAAATCTCACAGTATTTATACTAGACATACATTAAATGAATGTACGATAAGAAACTGTACTCTCAATTCATTCAAAATCGAACAAGTCTATTCTCTTCGTCATTCCTTTCCAAATAATTCATTTAAGAAAAAAACATACTTATGATCAATGTCATTAGGCAGAAAATATTAAGCTATTTATACTGTACAACTTCATCATTTGAAGCCAAAGCCGTTTGGCTACATTTTATTCATCTCAAGCAACTTATAAGTATGTTTCGAATAAAATTGGAATGCGAAATAGTTTTAGAAAAAAGGATAATTTTATTTCATGTGATTTCAAATCAGTAATCATCATTAGTCAATATAGCTGAGATAGATGTTAAGTAAACTGGGTAAAAAGCTATTTACTCTAGTCTCCCTCCGGAAAAAAATGACGGCGATAGAAAGTAAAAAAATTCAGTGGTAAATAAAGATACTCACTGAAGATTGTATTAGTGTTATCATGTTTGATGAGAAATCTAGAATAAGTTGTTTTAACATTGAATACCTCAACAATACATTACTATTTCTTGATAAACTATTATTTTCATATTTGCACATCACCATATGGTCTATGAGAAGCTTTAGGTTACAATCCTATGACTCTTCTTTGTAAACAACGGAAATTAGATTAGTGTACAAACTACATTTGAACACAAGATCAAAGTGCTTAAAAGATGAATCCATAAAAATGTATCAAAATTTATTTAGTAATAAAGAAATAAAATGTCATATATTCAACTCATTAAATGATCAAATACACTGCTATACCGTCTGTTTTAGATATGTCCCCTGGAATGTTACTTGAGCCTGTAGTCTGATTCGATTGAGAAATTATGTATGGATTAACTTTAATTGTACTTGGAGGATTAACCAAAACTGAAGAAGCTCGTGGGCAGTCAGCTGTTAAATTAGTAAGTAGACCAAGTATTGTACGTAGGATTCGTAAATCTTGCAAAGCCAAAGGCCAAATACATATAATCACCTGTAAGACAGATAATAACAAATGCGTTCGTGCACTAGATTCTATATGAACCATTTGTGAACGAAATGGTGAATTAACACTATTTGTAGACTAATTCAATACAAAGTAAAACTGGAAAGGTACACTAACATTTGAATGTGCACAAAACCTGAATAAGAAAGATGTGAAAGTTGAAAAGCCGGGAAAACTCTAGTTATGTCTATTCGATATTTAAATACTGGAGAGATTTTACAAACCACCGTCTAACTCGACGTTCAATGTTAAGTAGTGTAATAGGAAGTTGAGAAAAGCAAAAGGGGGTCAAGATAAGACGTTTCATCAGATGACAAAGATACTGAATGTTGGACTGAGCTACATTGGTCGATTTAAACTTCCTGATTAGGGTCTGTATGATAAACGCGACCATTGTTTGAAGACGTTAGGTGATATGGCTCAAAATCAGTCACAATAGAGAAGATTCATCCAGTCGTTATCTTAATTTAAATCCTGAGCTCCAATATTTCTTCATAAATACTCTTTAATTCTATCTTTTGCGGACTATATTCTCAGTGCTCAGTTCTTCTTATTATCGTTGCTAATCTATTATTTCGACTCCTTTATTATTTACCTTGTTAATTTCATTTCGTCTTGCTGTGGTATAGTTACATGAGCAAACGCATATATATATATATATATATATATATACCAGTTTCTACGTTAATTTTGACTGGGTGAATGACTAAGATTTTACTAAATATAATAAATTTAGTTGATGGAAAATATTTTTTTATAAACCTCA